ATCAATATATATATATACATACTAAATAAGTATTTAAAAACTAATTCTATATGTAAATAAATAGACTAATATCCTTGACTATTGTATTTCACCATTTGCTTCCGGAATTATGAAAGAGGAACTTATTCTTAATTGCTGTTTATAGTAATTGAGCATCTATAAATAGTTATTGGAGACTTAGCAGCAACTTTCAATCGTCAACAAGAAAGAATATACACAAAAAGGTATGGGAAAAATTAGATAATATTTGTTTAAAGCAGTGGCGTGCCGTGACATCTGATGATAGGGAAGCTGTGTTTTTATAAGAAGCCGACTTCCAGGGGCAATCAGTTAATTCTTTCTTTAAATGTATTTTTAATAGATTATTTATCTGACGTACTTAATAAATAAACAAGTTCAATATAATTACCTCTGTTATTAGATCCAAAAACGCAAACGAAACAAAACGCAAAAACGAAAAAAACTGCATCTGCATCTTGCACGTCGCTTTCTCTTAACAATTCCATTGTTACGTAACACTTCCATTGTTACTTAACACTTCCATTGTTGATGGAAGTGTTAAGCCTTAATCCTGTCCCTCTCCCCCGTGGGGAGGAATTTCGAAAAATCTCTTCTTAGTGTGCATTTTCGTGACGTACCCTAACTGTGTACTCCTAATTTGGGCTCTGCACTTATTATTATTATCATCAACCCGTCTCGATTATATATATAGATATAACTTTGTAAAGAAACGTACATAAAAATAACATAAAATATTCTTTACTCTTTAAATCTTAACCACTTAGTCAAATAGCTCCCTACGAGTGGAATCAGAGACGGTCCTGCTAGGTGTGCGGTGCGTACATGCACGCGGGCTGCCAAATCCCGAGGGTGCCCATACCGGTCAATGTCAAATGCCTCTTTTGTGGCATCACTAATATACCTCAAAAGACGCGACAGGGCTCTTATAAATTTTAAACGTTTCTCACCATAGCTGTAAAAGTCTAAATATCTTAAACTTAATAGATTGTCCGTTGTTTGTTTTCTAACTAATTCGTTTTAGGATCAAGTGTCCTGAGAAATTTCCAAAATTTACAACTTTTCGGTCACTCTCGTCGAACTGGAAAAATGTCTGTCTTTATTACATCTAATATTTCGAAGAAATCAGTTCCACTGTACTCGGCTATAGATTGGTTCGGTTAGGCTTTTGTTTAAGTAAAATTTCGTTGGGGTTTTGTTTATGTCCCCAATTCCCTAATCGCTTAATTATTTAACTACTTCTTAAGTAGGAATAAGTCGAAACCGATTACTTTGTACTCGAATATTTGTAGTCTCGGGAAAAAGTGGAAAGACAAATTTTTATGACAACGGATACATAAATCGTAAATTTAAGGAAAATAAATTCTAGATGTACCTCGTGCATCTCTCTCATTCATTAAATTTAGTTGTTAATTATGCTACCAAAGTAACAGTTAATTTTTTAACATTATACAAGAATTGTACACGTTTTTTCTATATATCCCCTTAAAGACGGGACCTACGAAATTGCAATATCACCGGTTTAACATTGAAATCCGTGAGTAATATAAAATCGGAGAGCGGAATAAAAATATCAAGTATTTTAACGGATTTTTTAAAACTCCTGTCAACTATACAGAAAACCATCATAAAAACATACAGGTAAATTCTTATCGGTTGGGTTAAGTTATAAATCTACTCGTGATTCACGTAATCGGGCGAAGACGGCCAAATATCTAGCGGGCGGGCGGCTAACAGCTAGGAACCGGTCACGGATAGAATTGGATGCGTTATACGTGTAGCAGCCACCTGAAATCTTAGGCTTCCACCGGCTAAACCGGGTGAGGTTTGTGCTCCGTAAAGCGCGTGCGCGAATCTGGCTTTTTGGATGCTGACGATACAGCGTTTCCACGCCTCTACTCCGCCACTAATATTCGAATATACAATAGCAATCTTATTTTTTTTTTTCACGTGTAATATAGAAATTTGTAATAAGATACATAATGAGGTTATAATAAAATATTGTACAATTATTTTCATATAATTAAAATTAATATGTATTTATTTTTTAGAAAATACAAGGGAAGCGGCGCATCCACCGCTTCTAATGACGGCACGCCACTGGTATAAAGAATGGAGGGAGAGCATAATTCACATAGTTCTAACTACAGATTTTGTGGCCATTCTGAACTTTTCTAAATGTATTGAGATTTAGATCAAATAGAATAAGTAGACAAATATTCGGAGATGGATATAAGAGCATGAATATACTTACATTGCAGTAAAAACGTTTCATTTTCTGAATCTTTAAACAATTGCCAATAATTCATTTCTTCCGGATGATTAAATATCCCAAATATCGAATAGACGTATTTACCCCATGGATAATCGACGTATTCGAAACTGGAAGACATTATAAATACTTTTAAATCCGAAAGTTGCATAAATTTCATTAATTATTACAAGATAACCTGTAGCAATCTGTAAGATAAACCAGAGTTTTGAGTGATTATATGCCAACGTATAATACATAATTACTAGTTGTAATTTATAGCTATTTATTCTATCACACGCATATAAAGTTGTCTCGAAGTATAAAATTTGTTAGCTAATTTTAAAATAATTAAATAAAAGTTCTAATTAATTATATTTATAGAAATATTGTCATTAAGAAAACAAAATTTCCATCTTTGTAAACCAAATAATTTAATTACTTGTTTTTCATTTATCTATAATATGCGTATTATTAAATATAACTAAACGTTTTATGTAATAATATGCATAAAAACTAGCATTAATCGAAGAGAAAAAGTGTAAAATACCTGATACAATATGCCTACATTTAATTATATATATAGGCCTATATATAAAACAAACGGCCCAGATAGAGAGGAATCAAAGAGAGTTTTTTATGAATTCCCGGACAAAAGAGACCCGACAATTTAGTTCTCAATGTATAAAAAAGGATACCAAAGTGATTGGAAAAAGTCCATTTTTGAATAGCCTGGTCCTGATTTATCTTACTCAGACTATAAACACATTTTAATAATAGCTTTATCATTGATAATAATCATTTTTGCTGTGATTTAATAACATTATTTTACATACAAAATTCTCAATTATATTCTAATTGTATTCATAATAAATTATTGTATTTGACAACAATTATAGCATTATGAAAGATTTTTCGTAAAAATTACCTAAATTTATTATCCAATTTTTCAGCTAATTGCATGACTTCAAAAAACGTCGAATTAATGGGTACACTAAGAGAAAGACTAAAACTAATATCTTTGTTCTCTCCAACGAAGATTTTATAATTTACACGATGTTTTTCAATTCTTCTAGATTCAATTTCTCCTTCTATTGTTAAGTTATCTGCAATTGGTTAAGAATAAAGTTACCGATTTGATTTCAAAGCTTTGCAAAGTGAAAGAAACGAGAATACAAACGTGGTTGGTTTATACTGCAATTGAGACTCCCCAAATTAACAAATGTATTCCCATTCAGTATTGGAAGTATCAGATAAGCTGAGAATGCATCTCCGAATGAGCCATCTTCTTTTTGGTGCGACAGAAGGTAATTAATAGCAGCCGTTACATTCCATTCTTTGTCCTTGGTTACTTGGTTATCAATAGATAATAAAGCCTGTTTTGTATTACATCAATATCAGTAACAATTGATAAATATAGAAATAATATCTTAGACACCCCGCTTTTACGAATGATAAATTCTCTATTGTATCATTAATACAACGAAGAGGATAGATTGAGGATACATGTTACATAATTTTTGGGGTGAGTATGTGCTGAACGTTACGGGGAATGGAATAATACAGGAGTTGGAAACTATGAAAAGAGCATCAGATAATTTATGGATAGACTGAGAAGACTCAGAAGATATAAGATTGAGAGATGAAGATAGGTTAAATAAAAAGTGTTTGTTACGAATTAGTGTTGTACAACTCCGAAGATAGAAGAAAAGATGTATTTAGTCAGTATGAATATATGAGAAATATAACTCTCTTCGTGATGATGTTTCATCATCATAAAAGCGGAGATGATTATAATAACTTTATCTTAACAAGAACTTACTTGAAGGAAAAGGGCTGTTGTATGTTTATTACCGAAGGAACCGTCTTCATTTTGTAATGTTGAAAAGATTCTCATCGCTTTATTAAAATCTAAATCGTATTTATGAAGTGGTGAAAATTGCTTCATGCGATTTTTAAGACACAACAATGCCATCAGAGCATATGCTTTAGAATCTAAATAAAAGTTAAGAAGTGAATTACTTATTTGTAAATTATAGTTTAAATATATCATCTGAAAAGTGATTTATAGAAGTTATATTTACATTTACATTTATGTGGAGAATTACATAATAACACTGGTCTATGAATCTATTAATGGGACTCTTCAACATAATATAAGTTATTTTGACAATTTTTCTAGTTTCAACTTTAAAAATTTGACACCTTTTCTAAGATATAAAGTTATTTATATATAAGGAATATCACTGTGATAATATAGATAGGCTTCAAAATGTATTAAAATTAATAAAAACAAACATTAACTACTGCATTCTCGTAATTTTTTGAGAAATTTGAAAATGTATAGGTGAAGAAGGAATAGTTTTATGCCCCTTTTAAATACACGAAAATAGAAATAAAAATTCATTTTAAATAATGTAGTATGTATTATTTGCAATTATTTAATAATCAATCGTACAACCAAAAACGTCGTATTTTAAAATATTGCATGCAAATTAAGATTGTTTTTTCTTAACTTTTCCTCTTCTCAAAGGGAAAAAGAATGCCCTTTCTTCCATAGATATCATGTATTCGGCTGGATTCACAATAGTGACATCCGAGTGGCCGAGGGATTTGCCATAGAATTTACGCTATAAACTAATGCCCTGGTTCAATCCTTGGCCCCCCAGAGCGGTATTCTTAAAATTTAAAGCATTTAAAAACATTTTCCGACAATTTTCTTAAGTTTTGTACGTTGTTTTATCTCATATCTTTCTTTTTGCATCTCTAATTATGAACGAGGGATGTTTCTTCAAAACTAAAAAAAACTGTATGTATTTATTATAAAAATATAATTCATAACTATGTTTTTACTTTAAATATACTCTAAAAAGTAAATGATATATTAATTACCTATCCAGTGAGAGCCTCTTTTAAGAGAGAGATTTTCTAATTTTTTCATTTCATTCGGTGGAATGGTTTGATTAGAATTGCATATTGCCAACGCGATTGCAGGATTCATCGATTCAGACTCTTTAATTCTTAGTTTCAATAAATTCACTAAATCGAATTCTTGAAAATTTTTCGGATTAGAACAAATGGCAAGTAATGAATTAACGAAAGATGCGATTTCATAACTCTTGATGTCTTTCATGTCGTTCCTAGAAACAACAATTTTTTCTTAGATAAAAAATTATATAATTCAACAAATAAAAACGTGTTTTGTATATTATTACAGCAACAGTTGAGAAAGTTGAAGTTTCAGTTGCGTAAACATTAATTGATTCGTTACATTAGCAGAGTTTATGTCGAGTTCTTCGGAAAGACGAAGTGCCACAATGGCCCGACTCGTGTCTTTACCCCAACCCCCATCTAATTTTCTTTGTTTTTTCAACCACGAAAGTGCTTTCTCCTTACTTTCTCTTACTCCAGGTAATTCTTCGACTCTATAACCTTCTCTCACTAAAATGCAATTTAAAATATAATTAAATAACATCAATTAATAATTAATATTTGTATTCGGACTTTACAGCAATTTGTTTCGTCTGAGTTATCCGTGCAGTCCTTATATCCATCGCATGCCCATTTAAATGGTATGCATTTTCCGTTGTTTTTGCAATAGGTTTGATCTTCAGCGCATCCGGGATAATCTGCGAATGAATTAAAGATATAAAAGTGAAATATTTTGAAATTTAATAATTCATTTCTCAATTCAAATATACAGGTCTTTCAAAAAGTGTATTACCGGCTCCCGCAATAAGACAATAATAAATTTTTCTCTAATAATAAATCAACGGGTTCTAGCATAATCGAGTGGAGTTTCCTGCATTTAATTCGGGTTTTGTAACACCTAAATAGGGGTCAGTTCCCCTTAGAAACTCATCCCAACAAGTTCATCTTGGCAGACTATGTTGCTTTATACAAGGGGTGTCCAACCTTTTTGTTTCTCTGGGCCACATTGAAAGATGTCATGAAGTTTTGGGCCACAAGTATATATAATATACTTGTGGCCCAATCCTTAAATATANCCACTAAAGTGAAGTTTTGCAAATGTATTCTGTTCTGAAATAATAGAACCACAGTGAAATAATGGCATTAAAAACATTAATAAAGGAATAAGAAGTATATTATGTCTGCATAAGAATCAGTTTTACAAAGTTTTCATGCCACTACAGGATAAATATAATGCTTCATAATTAACATGTAATCAAGCACCCGTTGGGATAAATATTACATGATGTGGACTGATAAATGACAACAAATTATAAGGAGTGATGAGAAGAAATTCAACATGGACCGGTCAGATGGCTGAAGAAGATATTGACACGATATCTGAATTAATTGGGACGGCAGAAAGATGCTAAAAGTGTTATGGTGTGATCGCATTTAAATGGAGTGGTGTGACAAATTCACCTTTTAACTCTGTTCGTATTATTGCTGTAGGATATCAGCAAGTAGATATGCACCAAATAGCATTTGAAAAAAAAATTGAGAGAAATTTTTCCAATTTCGGCAAGATAATGCTATTTGGGTTATCTCATAACGCAAAATCAACCTGGGATTGGTTTTTGGTAAATGGTGTTCATATTATGGAACTTACCCCCATGTTCTCCTGATGTTAATCCTATAGAAAACATGTTTAGTATTTTAGCAAGGAAAATATGTAGGAATGAGAAGCAATACACAACAGTGGAATCATTAAAAAAGGTAATAACTGATGCTTGACACGAAATCACAGATGAGAAGAGGAAGAATCTTATTAATACTTTATACTTTATTTAAGATACTACGTGTTTAGGCTTTTTCCAAGTATCTGAATACGCGGTTAGTAGTCAGAACATAATACAGAATAAAACAAAAACAAAAATACATAACAGTGCCCAATATTAAACAATGTCAAATAGAATTTACAATGTAATTAATAGACAATGTGAACATATTGTTTAATAACAATAAATAATATCACTTATTTAAATGTTGAAGTTGCTCTATCATTTTGGAATAAGCATAAGTATCCTATACAACATTGTTAAAATTTATTTATATTTTTATCTTATTACTATTTTTTGATAAAATTATTATTATTATGTATATGTAATGTACTGCAGGAATAAAAAATTCTATTTTCGAGTATTTTTATATTCTAAATTTAAATATATATTTTTTTCTAATTGAACTAGTTCAACTAGATATTTCTTGTATCCTTGTTATAATAACCTCAAAATATCAAGAATATATAATGTCTTCAGAATGATGATATTATCTGAATTAGTATTAAAGATAATGATCGGTTGATAGGATAAAGCAATGATGGGTGATTTGTCAAAGGAGATGCCTCCTTCTATGGGAAATTGACCCTATTTAGGTATTAGGCAGGTGAAAAAAACTCGGAAAGCTTTACGTGGCCATCCTGTTGGTTGAATGCGAACCCGCGACTAACTACCAGGTAGTCGTTGGTCTAATGCTTCTACTCATTCGACCAACCGGTGGTCCATTCAATGTCGAAAATTCATGACCTTTTATATTTAAAAAAACTGTCAATTGACAACAGTAATTCTAATTTTTATATACCTAATAAGCTAATACTAAATGTAACAATAACCTGTTCTTTTTACCTCTTTCTCACTTTTGCAACCAGAATCAATTATTTATCTAGATATGTAAATCCATCAACTTGTACAAATTTTTGTCTGTTTTTCTTTAATCTACTTCAATTCAGAATACTTTCATTTTATTGGCATTAATCTTTATTTTTATATTACTCGCAGTTTCTTTCTGGTTTCTTTAACATTTATTTCGAGTCTTTTTTTTTATTTTTTTGCAAGAAAAGCCATATCATCGGCAAATCTTAGAAATTAAGAGATAAGAATGGTGATATTAAACTTTTTCCAGGCATTGAGAGAGCAATAAACAATGGAAATTGTAATGAAAAATGAAAGAACGTAGTAATACAGGTTGGATATATTTTGGCATCTATCTTTATTTTCAGATGAAATAGTGATTAGTTAAATTTGATGTATAATATAGTTGAACCTTGTTGAATGTTTTATAATTGTATTACAACGATCAAGATGGAGATTTACGGGTTTTTGTTTGCGTTCGTAAAGGAAAATTCGTTTTATGCCTGTATTAGCGCCGCTAATAGCTTTTGTTCGATATTTCAGATAATTTATCTCTTACTCCAGTTTATTTTATAGTTAACAGAGGATATTGGAAAAGAAACTGGAAGTCTAAATTTTCAATTATTAATAATAACGGAATAATTGAGCGGAGCGTAAGCAGAGCTCTTCATAAATCAGAAAGTCTTTTGTTTGTGATCGAAGTTTAAAGCGACGATTAAACATGATTCTTTTTTGCAAATGTGTATAACTCGACAAGGTCAATGTCGTTACGAAATCAGAATTTTGAAATTCGATCTACGGACTGAGATATTCGAGGTCAAATTTCGTCACTTAACGGGCCGATTGGCGGATTTAAGTTCAAAGCGACCGCACGACCACTAAAGTGAAGTTTTGCAAATGTATTCTGTTCTGAAATAATAGAACCACAGTGAAATAATGGCATTAAAAACATTAATAAAGGAATAAGAAGTATATTATGTCTGCATAAGAATCAGTTTTACAAAGTTTTCATGCCACTACAGGATAAATATAATGCTTCATAATTAACATGTAATCAAGCACCCGTTGGGATAAATATTACATGATGTGGACTGATAAATGACAACAAATTATAAGGAGTGATGAGAAGAAATTCAACATGGACCGGTCAGATGGCTGAAGAAGATATTGACACGATATCTGAATTAATTGGGACGGCAGAAAGATGCTAAAAGTGTTATGGTGTGATCGCATTTAAATGGAGTGGTGTGACAAATTCACCTTTTAACTCTGTTCGTATTATTGCTGTAGGATATCAGCAAGTAGATATGCACCAAATAGCATTTGAAAAAAAAAATTGNCCGCGACATCCTACAGCATTAATACGATTAGAGATAAAAGCTATATTTGTCATACCACCGAAAGAAATGGCTATTTATGTGGCAAAATAACAGGAAATCGGATACCAGTTAGACAATTGGGCCATGGAGTGATTGATTACACGATAAATATGAAGCTCTATATTTATCAATTTATCCAATATTAAGCTATATATTTATCCAAAACATTTTGTGTCTTAATGGGAATCAGTTGCTTCTTATTCCGTTATTAATTTCATTATTTCATAGTGGCTCTATTATTTCAGAACATACTGCATTTGCAAAAATTCATGTTTAATGGTCGTGTGGTTGGTTTGAAGTTCGATCACAAAAAACTTTCCGAGTAATGAAGATCTCCATTTCGCTCAAAAATTGCAAAGTTAGAATATGTAGTGTCAGTCTCACACATTATATTTAACACTAACACGGATTATATACCATAATAACATACTAAAACTTGCAAAGCAGACAAGAAGATTGTTAACGAAAAACAAAAAGAGATATAAATAAATAAGTTTATTTATATATACTAAAAAATAAAAATGGAAAAACTGGAATAAAGAAATGTCTTTAATAAATTACTATTATGTCATAGAAATTACAAATTAATATTTTAAACAATTAATAACATAAAGAAGTAAATACCTAAGAGTAATTACATAGTTTCTTACACCAACAATAGCTTTAGTGATGTGTATATAGAATGGCCCAAAAGTTGGTTGCCTAAGATTTTCTAGACTAGAGATTTAGCAAGTTTTGCGAAATTTATAAGAAACTAAATGCTTGTGCCTGGCTTTGCTTGTACTTTTGAGAGAATAGGGATTGTTGAAGTCGGGTTGGGAGAGAGTAATTAAAAAAAAAAAAAAAGGGCCCTAGTAACTAAAATTTACATCTATTTACAATAATAAAACTGCAAAACAAAAATTGCTTGGGCTTAGGTTAAAAAGGAATTGGGACTTACAGTAGTTTTTCTAGACTATCAAAGAATATTCATTCCAAATTTGGTGCGGATACGTTGAACGGTATAAAACCTTTTACATAACATACATGAATATTGTGACTTTTTGGATCTCTTGTGTGTAAGTTTAAAAATTCGAAACTCTCATTAGTATATTTAGCAAACGAAGTAGTTAATGTCAAAGACATTTAGAATTTTGCACGATATATTTAATCAGCTATTGATTTATACCAGTAAATGTAAGTCTCCTCTTTTCCAGGAATCATTTTATCAGGTGCTGGAAAAATTTAAAATATAAATTAGAAAATTATATAAATAATCAATATATATATATACATACTAAATAAGTATTTAAAAACTAATTCTATATGTAAATAAATAGACTAATATCCTTGACTATTGTATTTCACCATTTGCTTCCGGAATTATGAAAGAGGAACTTATTCTTAATTGCTGTTTATAGTAATTGAGCATCTATAAATAGTTATTGGAGACTTAGCAGCAACTTTCAATCGTCAACAAGAAAGAATATACACAAAAAGGTATGGGAAAAATTAGATAATATTTGTTTAAAGCAGTGGCGTGCCGTGACATCTGATGATAGGGAAGCTGTGTTTTTATAAGAAGCCGACTTCCAGGGGCAATCAGTTAATTCTTTCTTTAAATGTATTTTTAATAGATTATTTATCTGACGTACTTAATAAATAAACAAGTTCAATATAATTACCTCTGTTATTAGATCCAAAAACGCAAACGAAACAAAACGCAAAAACGAAAAAAACTGCATCTGCATCTTGCACGTCGCTTTCTCTTAACAATTCCATTGTTACGTAACACTTCCATTGTTACTTAACACTTCCATTGTTGATGGAAGTGTTAAGCCTTAATCCTGTCCCTCTCCCCCGTGGGGAGGAATTTCGAAAAATCTCTTCTTAGTGTGCATTTTCGTGACGTACCCTAACTGTGTACTCCTAATTTGGGCTCTGCACTTATTATTATTATCATCAACCCGTCTCGATTATATATATAGATATAACTTTGTAAAGAAACGTACATAAAAATAACATAAAATATTCTTTACTCTTTAAATCTTAACCACTTAGTCAAATAGCTCCCTACGAGTGGAATCAGAGACGGTCCTGCTAGGTGTGCGGTGCGTACATGCACGCGGGCTGCCAAATCCCGAGGGTGCCCATACCGGTCAATGTCAAATGCCTCTTTTGTGGCATCACTAATATACCTCAAAAGACGCGACAGGGCTCTTATAAATTTTAAACGTTTCTCACCATAGCTGTAAAAGTCTAAATATCTTAAACTTAATAGATTGTCCGTTGTTTGTTTTCTAACTAATTCGTTTTAGGATCAAGTGTCCTGAGAAATTTCCAAAATTTACAACTTTTCGGTCACTCTCGTCGAACTGGAAAAATGTCTGTCTTTATTACATCTAATATTTCGAAGAAATCAGTTCCACTGTACTCGGCTATAGATTGGTTCGGTTAGGCTTTTGTTTAAGTAAAATTTCGTTGGGGTTTTGTTTATGTCCCCAATTCCCTAATCGCTTAATTATTTAACTACTTCTTAAGTAGGAATAAGTCGAAACCGATTACTTTGTACTCGAATATTTGTAGTCTCGGGAAAAAGTGGAAAGACAAATTTTTATGACAACGGATACATAAATCGTAAATTTAAGGAAAATAAATTCTAGATGTACCTCGTGCATCTCTCTCATTCATTAAATTTAGTTGTTAATTATGCTACCAAAGTAACAGTTAATTTTTTAACATTATACAAGAATTGTACACGTTTTTTCTATATATCCCCTTAAAGACGGGACCTACGAAATTGCAATATCACCGGTTTAACATTGAAATCCGTGAGTAATATAAAATCGGAGAGCGGAATAAAAATATCAAGTATTTTAACGGATTTTTTAAAACTCCTGTCAACTATACAGAAAACCATCATAAAAACATACAGGTAAATTCTTATCGGTTGGGTTAAGTTATAAATCTACTCGTGATTCACGTAATCGGGCGAAGACGGCCAAATATCTAGCGGGCGGGCGGCTAACAGCTAGGAACCGGTCACGGATAGAATTGGATGCGTTATACGTGTAGCAGCCACCTGAAATCTTAGGCTTCCACCGGCTAAACCGGGTGAGGTTTGTGCTCCGTAAAGCGCGTGCGCGAATCTGGCTTTTTGGATGCTGACGATACAGCGTTTCCACGCCTCTACTCCGCCACTAATATTCGAATATACAATAGCAATCTTATTTTTTTTTTTCACGTGTAATATAGAAATTTGTAATAAGATACATAATGAGGTTATAATAAAATATTGTACAATTATTTTCATATAATTAAAATTAATATGTATTTATTTTTTAGAAAATACAAGGGAAGCGGCGCATCCACCGCTTCTAATGACGGCACGCCACTGGTTTAAAGAATGGAGGGAGAGCATAATTCACATAGTTCTAACTACAGATTTTGTGGCCATTCTGAACTTTTCTAAATGTATTGAGATTTAGATCAAATAGAATAAGTAGACAAATATTCGGAGATGGATATAAGAGCATGAATATACTTACATTGCAGTAAAAACGTTTCATTTTCTGAATCTTTAAACAATTGCCAATAATTCATTTCTTCCGGATGATTAAATATCCCAAATATCGAATAGACGTATTTACCCCATGGATAATCGACGTATTCGAAACTGGAAGACATTATAAATACTTTTAAATCCGAAAGTTGCATAAATTTCATTAATTATTATAAGATAACCTGTAGCAATCTGTAAGATAAATCAGAGTTTTGAGTGATTATATGCCAACGTATAATACATAATTACTAGTTGTAATTTATAGCTATTTATTCTATCACACGCATATAAAGTTGTCTCGAAGTATAAAATTTGTTAGCTAATTTTAAAATAATTAAATAAAAGTTCTAATTAATTATATTTATAGAAATATTGTCATTAAGAAAACAAAATTTCCATCTTTGTAAACCAAATAATTTAATTACTTGTTTTTCATTTATCTATAATATGCGTATTATTAAATATAACTAAACGTTTTATGTAATAATATGCATAAAAACTAGCATTAATCGAAGAGAAAAAGTGTAAAATACCTGATACAATATGCCTACATTTAATTATATATATAGGCCTATATATAAAACAAACGGCCCAGATAGAGAGGAATCAAAGAGAGTTTTTTATGAATTCCCGGACAAAAGAGACCCGACAATTTAGTTCTCAATGTATAAAAAAGGATACCAAAGTGATTGGAAAAAGTCCATTTTTGAATAGCCTGGTCCTGATTTATCTTACTCAGACTATAAACACATTTTAATAATAGCTTTATCATTGATAATAATCATTTTTGCTGTGATTTAATAACATTATTTTACATACAAAATTCTCAATTATATTCTAATTGTATTCATAATAAATTATTGTATTTGACAACAATTATAGCATTATGAAAGATTTTTCGTAAAAATTACCTAAATTTATTATCCAATTTTTCAGCTAATTGCATGACTTCAAAAAACGTCGAATTAATGGGTACACTAAGAGAAAGACTAAAACTAATATCTTTGTTCTCTCCAACGAAGATTTTATAATTTACACGATGTTTTTCAATTCTTCTAGATTCAATTTCTCCTTCTATTATTAAGTTATCTGCAATTGGTTAAGAATAAAGTTACCGATTTGATTTCAAAGCTTTGCAAAGTGAAAGAAACGAGAATACAAACGTGGTTGGTTTATACTGCAATTGAGACTCCCCAAATTAACAAATGTATTCCCATTCAGTATTGGAAGTATCAGATAAGCTGAGAATGCATCTCCGAATGAGCCATCTTCTTTTTGGTGCGACAGAAGGTAATTAATAGCAGCCGTTACATTCCATTCTTTGTCCTTGGTTACTTGGTTATCAATAGATAATAAAGCCTGTTTTGTATTACATCAATATCAGTAACAATTGATAAATATAGAAATAATATCTTAGACACCCCGCTTTTACGAATGATAAATTCTCTATTGTATCATTAATACAACGAAGAGGATAGATTGAGGATACATGTTACATAATTTTTGGGGTGAGTATGTGCTGAACGTTACGGGGAATGGAATAATACAGGAGTTGGAAACTATGAAAAGAGCATCAGATAATTTATGGATAGACTGAGAAGACTCAGAAGATATAAGATTGAGAGATGAAGATAGGTTAAATAAAAAGTGTTTGTTACGAATTAGTGTTGTACAACTCCGAAGATAGAAGAAAAGATGTATTTAGTCAGTATGAATATATGAGAAATATAACTCTCTTCGTGATGATGTTTCATCATCATAAAAGCGGAGATGATTATAATAACTTTATCTTAACAAGAACTTACTTGAAGGAAAAGGGCTGTTGTATGTTTATTACCGAAGGAACCGTCTTCATTTTGTAATGTTGAAAAGATTCTCATCGCTTTATTAAAATCTAAATCGTATTTATGAAGTGGTGAAAATTGCTTCATGCGATTTTTAAGACACAACAATGCCATCAGAGCATATGCTTTAGAATCTAAATAAAAGTTAAGAAGTGAATTACTTATTTGTAAATTGTAGTTTAAATATATCATCTGAAAAGTGATTTATAGAAGTTATATTTACATTTACATTTATGTGGAGAATTACATAATAACACTGGTCTATGAATCTATTAATGGGACTCTTCAACATAATATAAGTTATTTTGACAATTTTTCTAGTTTCAACTTTAAAAATTTGACACCTTTTCTAAGATATAAAGTTATTTATATATAAGGAATATCACTGTGATAATATAGATAGGCTTCAAAATGTATTAAAATTAATAAAAACAAACATTAACTACTGCATTCTCGTAATTTTTTGAGAAATTTGAAAATGTATAGGTGAAGAAGGAATAGTTTTATGCCCCTTTTAAATACACGAAAATAGAAATAAAAATTCATTTTAAATAATGTAGTATGTATTATTTGCAATTATTTAATAATCAATCGTACAACCAAAAACGTCGTATTTTAAAATATTGCATGCAAATTAAGATTGTTTTTTCTTAACTTTTCCTCTTCTCAAAGGGAAAAAGAATGCCCTTTCTTCCATAGATATCATGTATTCGGCTGGATTCACAATAGTGACATCCGAGTGGCCGAGGGATTTGCCATAGAATTTACGCTATAAACTAATGCCCTGGTTCAATCCTTGGCCCCCCAGAGCGGTATTCTTAAAATTTAAAGCATTTAAAAACATTTTCCGACAATTTTCTTAAGTTTTGTACGTTGTTTTATCTCATATCTTTCTTTTTGCATCTCTAATTATGAACGAGGGATGTTTCTTCAAAACTAAAAAAAACTGTATGTATTTATTATAAAAATATAATTCATAACTATGTTTTTACTTTAAATATACTCTAAAAAGTAAATGATATATTAATTACCTATCCAGTGAGAGCCTCTTTTAAGAGAGAGATTTTCTAATTTTTTCATTTCATTCGGTGGAATGGTTTGATTAGAATTGCATATTGCCAACGCGATTGCAGGATTCATCGATTCAGACTCTTTAATTCTTAGTTTCAATAAATTCACTAAATCGAATTCTTGAAAATTTTTCGGATTAGAACAAATGGCAAGTAATGAATTAACGAAAGATGCGATTTCATAACTCTTGATGTCTTTCATGTCGTTCCTAGAAACAACAATTTTTTCTTAGATAAAAAATTATATAATTCAACAAATAAAAACGTGTTTTGTATATTATTACAGCAACAGTTGAGAAAGTTGAAGTTTCAGTTGCGTAAACATTAATTGATTCGTTACATTAGCAGAGTTTATGTCGAGTTCTTCGGAAAGACGAAGTGCCACAATGGCCCGACTCGTGTCTTTACCCCAACCCCCATCTAATTTTCTTTGTTTTTTCAACCACGAAAGTGCTTTCTCCTTACTTTCTCTTACTCCAGGTAATTCTTCGACTCTATAACCTTCTCTCACTAAAATGCAATTTAAAATATAATTAAATAACATCAATTAATAATTAATATTTGTATTCGGACTTTACAGCAATTTGTTTCGTCTGAGTTATCCGTGCAGTCCTTATATCCATCGCATGCCCATTTAAATGGTATGCATTTTCCGTTGTTTTTGCAATAGGTTTGATCTTCAGCGCATCCGGGATAATCTGCGAATGAATTAAAGATATAAAAGTGAAATATTTTGAAATTTAATAATTTAATAATTCATTTCTCAATTCAAATATACAGGTCTTTCAAAAAGTGTATTACCGGCTCCCGCAATAAGACAATAATAAATTTTTCTCTAATAATAAATCAACGGGTTCTAGCATAATCGAGTGGAGTTTCCTGCATTTAATTCGGGTTTTGTAACACCTAAATAGGGGTCAGTTCCCCTTAGAAACTCATCCCAACAAGTTCATCTTGGCAGACTATGTTGCTTTATACAAGGGGTGTCCAACCTTTTTGTTTCTCTGGGCCACATTGAAAGATGTCATGAAGTTTTGGGCCACAAGTATATATAATATACTTGTGGCCCAATCCTTAAATATATTTGTATATTTAAGAATTAACATGTCTAGATTATAGTAATAAATATTAAATCTTTATCACGAAAAAGGATATTTTAAAAAATTACTTCTACAGACACTTCCAATTTTTACTTAGAAATAAATAAATTCATTTCTTATAAAGGAGACAAACAAAAATTTATGTGAAAAACACAAATATTTGTTTTATTTTGGTCTCTAATTAATAAAAAATGACAAAACACTATTTTAAAGTGCATTTTTATTCGACTAATATATTTATAAATAAGATGTAGCCCAAAAAGTAGCCAATGCACCAAATAATATTTTTTACGCCAAAATAAAAAAAGGATAGCCAAATTTGGCGCAAAGTAGCCAAATCATGCAACACTGGAAGGAATACTAAATAAAGCCGGAATTAGACTCAGAGGATTATAGACTCAAATGCGGGGAAAGGAGAGAAAGGACAAAAGATAAAGAAGTGAGGAAGGTTGGGAAATTATGGGTCCATATTTGCTTAACAGAAAGTCTATGTAACCTTTCTCACTACTTTTTATCTTTTGGCCTTACTATCCTTTCCCTGAATTTGGGTCTATAATTCTTTGAGTCTCAAGTTTAGCTTTATTTAATATTCCTTCCTCATTCACACATTTCCAAGTATTTGAAGATATTTCCTTTCCACTCAAAAATTAAATATGTATAAAGGTTTACGGCTTTGTAAAACTTCTTTTTTTGAATTTATGCCGTTGAAATAAATAAATAAAATAAAATAAAAAAATTTGTCAGTTTTGTTTACAAGTTTATTGGGCCGCATTGGAACTTGCCTTGGGCCGCATGCGGCCCGCGGGCCGCGGGTTGGACAACCCTGCTTTATACCATAATACCACCAATACTGTGCAAAATAACCGAAATTCTCATTTATATTCGACTTAAATACGATAGACAGAATTGATTTTTAATGAATTTTAAAACAGCAATTTGTTTACTTGCGATTATGTAATTGGATAAAATAGCTCATTTGTAAATATACCGGTAAAATGATATTTTTTACCGATATATTCTGTAAAAACATAGGTAGACACATAATAATTTTTTAAAGCCTAATATTTGCATTTTTCTTTATTAAACACAGAAGCGACAAACATTTTATTTAACCCTCAAAAAATGCTAATTATTGATATAATCGATCCTTTTTTTATCGCTTTCTTACATCAATATTTAGATTAAATATATTACTGTTACAAGGTAATATAACTTTTATAATTTAAAATAATTTGGCAGCCTTAATGAAACTTAAATCCCGGTTATGCAACGTTTTCAGAAATACTCCATGCATCTTTTTACGAGTAAATATTAATTAATTTTAAAACACAAAAGAAAACTTAATAACAATAGAAACATACGTAAATCACAGTGTCTTCTATCGCTATAATCACTGCAACGACCGCTATAATGGCTATAATTGCACCAATGACTTTTACTGATGCATGCTTCATCATTACATTCAAATTGGTCGTTTCGACATCTTCCTGTAAATTTATATAAAGTAAGTAATAAAGAAATATTATGTAATACTTTAAACACTGTACTTACTTTCAAATGGAACTGCATATGTTTTACTAAACACGAAAATTAATGCATGAAATAATATTAAACTCTTCATCTTCGTTGCCAATTACGAAGTAAAATGGCTGAAAACGAAACTAAAACTTATGAAATATCAAGACAATATTGATCAAGTAAATAGAATACGAAGCGCGCAACGCTTCTAATCAATAATCTAATCAATAAGAAAAGATGAATTTTAAAAAGAGAGTAAACATTTACTTTAAATACATCAATTTTTTTTTCTTAAGAGAAGTCACTAAAATACCACGCTATAAGCAAAATATAAACCGAATTATAGACAAAAAGTCATGGGACTACTTACTGTCTGCATCCTTGAATTTGCTATTGCTTCAGCCTGTTTCAGTCGCGTAATAGTACATTGTATACGGTGAATGTATGCAAAACTAGTCAAGGCCTACGCATTGTACTAGTAAATGTGTACTAGTAACTTAGGCCTCTCTGAAGACTTCATTCTGTTTCTTCTGTACCTTCGAAACAGAAGCACGTGGTATTTACTAACACTAAAATGACTAGATCTTGAAATTAAAAAGCGGGACATTAGACAGGGCACGAGTCACGTCATCTACTCACGCAGTCTACCATGTGTCGGCACCAAAATCTAATCGTCAGTAATTGGCGCGCTTTTTCTCGAAGAAAAGAATCCGCTGATCTCGATCCGCTAACCTTCGCCTTAATTAAAAGTAATTTATTATATTTTAATAATTACATAATGTTGCTTCTCGATACATTAATACGTGATTCGCAGTGGCGTGCCGTCCTTGGAAGCGGTGGAAGCGCCGCTTCCCTTGTATTTTCTAAAATATAAATATATATATTGTGCGATTATTTTCATATTTTAACGTATTTTAAATTAATTAAAATTAATATTTTATTATAACCGTATTATGTATCTTATTACAAATTTCTATACTACACGTGAAAAAAAAAACGATAGGATTGCTATTGTATATTCGAATATCAGTGGTGGAATGGAAACGCTGTACTGTCGTAACCGGGTCAGCTTCCAAACAACCAGATTATACGCTTGCGTTTTACAGAGCACCAACCTCACCCGGTTTAGCTAGTGGACACTACACATACAACGCTTCCAATGATTCTATCCAGGACCGATTCTGGGATGTTAGCCGCCAGCCTGCTAGATATTTGGCCGCCCTCGCCCGATTACGTGAATAACGAGTAGATTTATAACTTAACCCAACCGATAAGAATTTACTGGAATGTTTTTATGATAGTTCTGTATAGGTGACAGGAATTTTTAAAAACATCCATTAAAATATTTGATATTTTTATTCCGCTCTCCCATCTTATATTACTTACGGATTTCAATGTTAAAACAGTGATATCACGATTTCGTACGTCCCTTCTATTGGGGATGTAGAAAAAAACGTGTAGTCTACAATTCTTGTACAATGTTAAAAAATTAACTGTTATTTTAACAGCATCATTTACAACCAGATTTAATAAATAAGATGCATAGGTACAAAAAAGCTCTAGAATTTATTTTCCTTAAATTTACGATTTATGTATCGGTTGTCATAAAAATTTGTCTTTTCACTTTTTTCCCTAGACTATAAATATTCAAATACAAAGTAACCGGTTTCAACTTATTTCCACTTAAGAAGTACTTAATTATTTAAGTGATTAGGGAATTAGGGACATAAATAAAACCCTGCTAAAAGAACCGGAATATTACTTAAACAAAAGTCTAACCGAACCAATCTCTAGCCGAGTACAGTGGGGACTGATTTCTTCGTAATATTAGACGTAATAAAGACAGCAATTTTTCCAGTTCAATGAGAGTGACCGAAAAGTTGTAAATTTTGGAAATTTCCGTGGACAACACCTGGTCCTAAAACGAATTAGTTAGAAAACAAATGACTATTAAGTTTAACATATTTAAATTTTTACAGCTATGGTGAGAAACGTTTAAAATCTACAACAACACTGTCGCGTCCTTTCAGGTATACTAGTGATGCGACAAAAGAGGCATTTGACATTAACCGGTATCGGTACCTTGGAGATTTGGCATGCAAGCACGCGCTGCACACGTACCAAGATCATCTCTGATTCCATCCATGAGCCACTGATAGGGAGCAATTTTAACTAAGTGGATTGTTTTAATATTTAAAAAGTAAAGAATATTTTATGTTATTTTTATGTATGTTTCTTCACAAAACTATATTTAATTATAATTCTCTTTAATAAGTATTTCCATTAATTCTAGAAAAATATTCTTAAATAACCTGGAGACGTCTTTTACTGAAAGTTTTGTGCGGAATAAAGTGGAAACTATTACATTTTTTTTTCTTGATTTAAGACGTTGGGATCAATAAATGTTTATCTCTAAAATGATAGTTTAAATAGAATAATTCCTGGAAAAAGTGGATTCAAATTTGCAACTTTAATCTCGAATATTTGCAAATATTTTACTCTACATTTTTTGCTCATCTCGACGAATTCTATCATTCATTTCCAGGAAGAACACTGTTTTTGCAACATCCTTTGTATATTTTTTTCATATAAGTTCTTGTTAAGATAAAATTATACAATGATTTCCTTTCACGAAGAGAGTCAATTTCTCATATTTTCATTGTAATAAGTTAAGTTAATGAACTCAGAAACAATAATCTGGCAGAGAAAATATAACTTTTCTTTCTCTCTTCCGGGTTATACAACACAAATTCCTAAGAAACACTTCCTATCTAACTAATCTTCATCTTCAATCGTACATCCTCTAAGTCTTCTCAGTCCATCTTCTTTTAGAATATCGTCAATTATTATTTAATCTTGGTATAATTATTTTCACCTTAAATCAATGATCTTCTAAATATAATTAATTATATGTGATGTGCTACGTGTAATTATGAATTATACGTATCAGCAGATCACGTATCCGCGGTTTCCTTATCTCCTCCCCTGAAATATCTAAAGAAGACTTTGACTTAAGAGAGGGAAGAAAAAAGATAGAAAATAATATATTCGATAAATATAAAATTGAGAAGAATAAGTTTAATACAAGCTAAAGCTAAACAAAATTAAAATTAGATTTATTTATTTTATATGTTTATTGTTCAATAAATAAATATGATATTTATCATTTATTTTTATCCTATTTATAGACATTAAACAACAGTAAACGTTGACCTCCAATCTGTGAACTTTTGATGAGATATTATAGCAAGATAAAAGAGATTAAATAAAAAAATACTTGTTCAGCAAGTCTCCTCGTAGTTTCCTCTTATGAACTGCCTTAGTTAAAAAATCATCTTAGACATGGAGTTAAACTTTGAAGGAAAACGTGCTTTAGTTACGGGAGCGAGTAGAGGTAAATATTTATTATATTTTAAAATACTGGAAATCTTAATTAAAATACCCCTATTCAAGTTTTTAGAGAGATATTTTACAGTTTAAATGTAAACAAATCTGGTATGGTGACATTTTGGGACGTGCGAAAAACATATCAGTGAAGTAATTAGTACCGAAATTTGCCAAGTATGGCACTTTTAGCGCTGCAAGCAGTTTTATTTGTAGAAACACTTAAAAAGTGTAGTGGCTTATTGAGAGCATGTTGCAAATTTGGCAGCTTGGAAGACATTATCAGATTGTATATGAGAAGCATCACAGAGGATCAATTGTTATCACCCATTGAATACGTTCAGGTTTTACATTTTCAGTATTTTCTGCATTCCTAAGATGTCTAGTATCAGATGAATTGTATAAATAAAATGTTCGTTGCTTGCAGCGCCGAAAGTGCCTTAATGGTAAATTTTGGTATTTTATTTTTACGGAAATATCTTCCACATGTAATGAAATGTCACCATACCGATTCTGGTTGCAATTGGATTGCTAAATAAATAACTCTGTACATAGAATTAAATAGAACGATTTTACAATCACTCGGCATTTTAATTAACAGTAAAACTCAATTAATATATTAGAATATTACGTTATTATTACGTACAGTACATAATTATTTATTATCGACACACACTTTCTTCTGCATTAGGCATCGGAAGAGGAATTGCAATAAAGTTGAATAAACTTGGAGTGAATGTTGTAGCTATAAGCAAATCACAATCTAATCTGGAAGCATTAAAGCGTGAGGTAAAATTTTTCTTTTAAACTGTTAAGATAATAGCAAAATAATGTAGTTTAAACAAATAAATTTTAATTTGTTTTTTGTTCAATGGGAGGGCTTAAACTCTCACAGCCTTCCCCTTATACCAGCCACTGATATGGTGTTTATAAAGTCTCTGTCTGTTTAAAACATTATCTATTCTGTTAGTTGGCTTTTGTAATATTTTATAATACAATAAATTGTATTATAAAAATTTAAATTTTTATAATACAATTTATTGTTATAGATTTTTAACAGATAACATATTATATAATCTATAATAGAGCAAATATATTAAGTAAGTGGTGTATCTCTAGGTTCCTTCTATAGAAATTGTTGCCGTTGATTTATCTGACTGGAATGAAACATCCAAAGTAATTTCACAACTTGGCACTTTTCATTATTTAGTAAATTCCGCTGGAAATTTAATTTTGGAACCATTAGGCAATATTACAGCTGCCTCTTTTGAGAAGTAAAATATTTTATTATTTAATTTTTATTTATAAAATATATATTTAATAGATTTTAATTCAAATATAAATTTAATGTGTGTTTTCTTCGCATGTTTTTAATATAAAATTTATAAATTATTTATATTAATGTTGATTTTACAATTAATGGTTACTGCAATCTGAACTTAGATTATTCGACGTTAATGTGAAAGCTGTATTAAATGTCACACAAATAGTCGCAAATGAGATGAAAAAATCGGGAATAGGGGGTTCGATTGTTAATATCTCCAGTGTGGTTGGTAACGTTGCCTTTCCAGGATTATCCGTATATCCATCAACCAAAGGAGCTCTTAATCAATTGACAAAAACTATGGCTATTGAATACGGTCCACACAATGTAAGTATTTCCATTAATTCTAGAAAAATATTCTTCATATAATTTAAAAATTTTCTTTTATTATATTTCATACCTGTATACGGAATTTATCTCCAAAATCGTATAATTATGAAATGCTCGATATAGTGAAATTCTTAACGAGTTTTAATGAAATTTTTGTGTATTACTGAGAGCAAAACATATAATTAATGTTTAAATTTGGTCATTTTATACTTTATTTTCGTGCAAAATTAAACTGGTGAGAATGAAGGAGCACTTATGTTGGCAATTGTCACTATAGAATCTGTTTTGTATGTCACCCAATTGATAAGGGCCAGTAAAGCCGAAATTCATTTTGGGATAAGTTAATTAAATAGGCTGAGTGTGTAATAAGCCTGTTCATTAGTCATAAGTAACTACGTTTATAAATCTTGTATTATATATTCTATAGATACGTGTGAATGCTGTTGCTCCTTGTCTGACTGATACAGACATGGCTCGAGATTCCGGTCTATTAGATACCAGCAAACCTGCCATTCAGACTGTACTGAATAGGATTCCTTTACAAAGATTCGCAGGTACGCTCGATAATATAATAACTATAATATATTGTATATAAACTAGTGAATTAATTGTTAATGTCTTTCTTTCCTAGAAGTAAACGATATAGTAGATCCAGTAATATTTTTGTTGAGCGACATGGCGAGATATATCACTGGTTCCATATTAAATGTAGATGGAGGATATACCGCGTAATAATTATTAATTAATACAGAAATCAAGAAGAGCAAACTTTAATAATTAGTGCATTTACAAGTACTGTATAAGAAAACATTCAATTATATATTTTAAGATAAATAATAAAAATTAATTTCCAGAGAATTCGTTTTGATTTTGTGAGCAAGAGTTGTTGATAATTTATAATATATTTTAAATACAACGAAATCGACTTATCGAGTTAAAAAATAAATAAAAAAAACATTTATTTTTTAAAATAGTTATTTAATATTAATACAGAGTTTGATATACAGAATTGTTTGAATCCATAAAAACAACGAGCAATTATTTATTGTGACCGTAACAATTCCGAGCTGCAATTTTTAGTTACAATGTTTAGTAGTGTTTTGCCTCGGTATATCCTACTTTTTCTGTTAACGATAAAGTCATGTCGGTCATTTATCTAACTCCGTTCAGGAGGTTTTTTTTGAATTAAAATAACGTGACTTCTAGCCAAAAGTGGAAGCTTATATATAGTTAATCGAAACCGCCTGCTCCTAAGCTTCCCATATCTGAATTCAACTTTCATATATCTAACACTGTTCTCGAGATTAAGAAGGACGGACAGATAGACAGCGACAGTAGGGATTTATATGTCTACAACTTTTTCAATTCAAAAATTTTTCCCTGAAAGGAGTTAGATGAATGACTGGCATGACTCAATTGCTAACAGAAAAAGTATAATGTACAGGGAAAGACATTACAGTACTAATTTGAAGTAGAGAGCATATATTTTAAATTAAATAAATTAAAAATACGATTAAAAATTGCAGCCCGGCATTGTGTGACGATGTCACAATAAATAATTGCTCGTTCTAAGTGGATCTCATTTACAGTCGACCCACCTGTAACACTGTTGATAATTCCGTTTTATAGAATTCCATGTTGTACGAGTCACTTAGATTTTACAAATACGTGTGCCGGGCTGTGAACGGCTCACGTATTTATAAAATGTAAGTGACTCGTACAACATGGAATTCTATAAAACGGAATTATCAACAGTGTTATAGGAGGGGTCGACTGTATAGTAACAAACTTTTCTGTAAAGAATTGAATGTATAGATTGATAAATAATAATACTTTTCTACATATAAGTTGCTTGAACGAAGATATTTTTGTATCAAACATAGCGGATGCGTTTATATGTAAATTTAGACTCCTTTTATACGATCCGTATGTTTACTCGAACGGATAAAACACGGGCATTAATTAAATGTCGGCTAGATGAGTAGAATGGCATTGCAAGATATGACACTGTTCACACCACAAGTGTCGTTTGGTGTGGAAGTCTCTCGCGTCGCAACTGGATTAAGTTCTTATCTTCCCATGATCCGGGTGTTTACTCATCCGGCCAAACCAGGGCTGTGGAGTCGCGTAAAAATCTACAGACTCCGACTCCTACTAGGGGCGGAATTGTTACCGAAAGAGACCCAGAAATTCTGGTGTCATCACGTGACTTCAGAATAAAAAATTCAATAAATAGAGTTCTAATAAAGATAGAACGTAGAAACTTTTCATTCCAAAGCTAAAAGACTCCTCTAAGTAATATATAAATATGTATTCGTTAATTTTTACTTTTCCGGCTGTTATATATAACAGAGGGAAAGTGTAGCGCTGGGTCAAAAAATGACCCCTCCCAAATTTTTTTGACGCAGGATACCTTGAAATTTCGAGATATGCAAAAGATTCGAGGCTTTTCTATATGTGTGGATGTTAGATTGTATGGGGGGCATGATTTTGTTCACCCTGTTTGAAGCCTAATAATTTTTGTGGTCAGAGTGGTCAGAATCAGAGTCATATGGCTTAACACAGGAGTTAGTTATTAAGCGTCAAAGTGGTTCATGTCCACATATACATTTTAACATCTTAGGCGAGAACATCTTAACGGGTTTTACTGTACTATTATAAAATGACAAAAAAGCTTACTTTGAGGGTAGAGACGAGTTTTATTTTATTTTTTTAAATTTTGAACGCTAATAACGAGTAAAATATTCATTAAGAGATATGACACATGACCACTTTTATATCTTCACCCTGTCGACCTTTAATTAAGGTCCAAAATTTAATAGTATTAATGCCCCTTTATACGCAAACTACAGTGCCACATTTTTTTTTTTAAACTTTACCCATTTTGAGATATTGTTTAATATCTCAGAACGGAAATCAAACAAATTAAACAAATTAGACGTTAACACACAAGCGTGTGCGAATTTTTCCCCTTTTCTTGACTTTTTTGAGGGGTTCGGCTAGATTTTCAATAAAAAAAAATTGGAGGGTCAAATTTGACACGATCCAATACTTTTCCGTTTTATATACATAACAAGTTGGTAAGTAAAAAAGACTCCGACTCCGACTAAAACACAAAACTCCACGACTCTGACTCCACAGCCCTGGGCCAAACACTCTTGGTCGTATGTAAGCGATCTTAGGCGCTCAACATCATGGGCCACTGTTGCACATGTTTTAATGCAAACAAATCTTGCATAAGAACATTTTTTACACAAACGCTAAGTACAGTTAGATGGTTGAATTTCAGAGGTGGTAAAGCCAAAAATCTACTGTTCTTAGGTATTTTGATTTCGTATCCGTGCCGTCTCAGTAAACTTTTGGATGGATCGACTCATACGTCACATGACTATCCATTATAGCACTGGTTAAACTTGTATTAATTGGAATGCAGAAAAATTCCTTTTAGTCCCCAGGTCAAAAAGAATTTAAAAACTATTAAATTCAAAATTTTATCTTATATATTAAATTATAAACATTTCAACTTTACAATTTACGGAATCGTATATTATGTACGAGTAAATGCATATTTTGTATACAATTAACTATTTCTTCTTTCTAAGGTTTATATAATGTTCAAGATATATGAATTTATGAGAAAAACTTGTATAAATATTATTTTAGAAAATATTTTTCAAGATTACCAATATTGAGGAATTAAGAAATCGCATAAAGAACATTTATAAACAAGTAGCGTGTGTAAGAATCAAGAATACACGAGGTGCAAGGAGGTACTCCTTGCACCTCGTGTATTCTTGATTCTAAAATTCCATTTCCAATCTAATACAATTAAATATGAGAAGAAGAGAAAAAGAATGGAATTTTTTTTATTCATAAATGCACAAAACAATTTTTATCAGCATGCAAATTTATATTAATTTTTCGCAACTACTACGATATTGATTATTTTCAATCATTTCTTTTCAGTTAATATACTGAGCACTAATGCACGCCGTTAGTCACGCCTGTGATACCGACATTAAAAAGAAAATTTGCTGTGTTTAGCTTGGATGCATGAATATATATATATATATTTGTTCTATTCTGCTGTGAAATATTCTAAATCTTTTTAAATAATTGTGTCGTTGCTACGTGTAGCTGCATGCAGTTTTGAAGTGCATTTGTTTTCGTCAAGAACTCCTGTTACTTCAACTAAAGTCGAGAAGACCGAATAAAAACCATTGACTGCCTGTAAACAGTACAAAGAAATATTTTACTCTAAATTTTTTACTATTAAGTTATGATAACATTTATTTTTATGGTATTTTAAACACAAAGCAAAAGGATAGATTTGCCTAGATAACTGAATTCTTACCCGAATCAAGAAGTTCTTTTTCACGAAGAAAAATCCTCCAACGGATATTCCAATGGGCAATCCTCCAAATATCTTCATAAAGCAAACGATCTAACATCAAAAATTTGAATTAAAATATCAATGAAAATAAAAAATTGTATGATATTATAAGAATAATATACCTTTAACTTGTATGTTAAAGTCAGAGGAGCAGAGAAATACTTTTCGACAGAGATGAAATTGTCGTATATCTGGAACATTATTATTACATTTTCATAAATAAAAAAAAATCACGAGATGGTATACGTTAATTTTTACTTACGATCGATGTTAAAGTCGACAATCCCCAACAGACTAATAAAGCTAAACTTAATAATTGTAACGCAATTATAGCCATAAATAGGCGAACGATAAGATTCATCTTAGCAAAAAGGACTCCGTACCAAATAAAGCAGGTTTCGTATACAAAATGTATGTAAATGAGAGGCAAAAGAAGCTCCCATTTTTCGTTTACTTGTTGAAAAAATTCCCATAGTTCAATAAATTTTTCAATTAGATTTTGGAGATAATATTTTGTCGCATTATTTACTATTTGTAATTCTGAGGAGATTTTAGATACTCTTTTCGATACGACTAATACAGTGAGCGTGCTTATAGTAAGCATAGAGGACAAATGAATAAATGTTACCATAAACCAAATTTCGATAGTAACCAAACATGTAATGGCTCTAATTTTGTATTTATTTCCAATATTAACGTATGGATAACCAATCAATGGTATTAAAACGGCAAACAAAGAGAGTAGAACGACTGTGTACGAAAATAAAATCAGTACATATGGTTGAGCTTTATCAAGGCATTTTTCTTCACCTTCATACCTACTTTTGAGCATGGAATAATGTAAATCAAACTTTTTTCTTTTCACGATGCTGAATTGCAAGGCAACGTACAAAGAACAAGTCAACGGCAAGAGTTTAGAGTAAAAAGCATGCTCTTCGAACACATTAAATATTCTAGCGCATGGAATATCGACCACGAAAATGATGAAAATAAATATTACAACGACCCATGCATATATTTCAATTATTCTTTCGTATGTGGAGAAAAGGAAGGCAGATATTTTACTCTTTCTGCATTTGCAAGGTTCTATAAAGTTCAATCCGAAAATTTCACATACAGAAAAAAAAGGATCGAATTGCCTAACGAGACAAATGTCATCGGGATAAGATTCCATATAATTTGCTATAGTAATATTTTACGATTAATTCGAAAAATATTTATAATAAAAAATAGAATACTTCAGAAACGATTCGAAAATGTTCAATTAAATTTTCATTTTAAAAACTCACCCCACTCTACAAGTTCAGAACGAAAGATTTTGTGTAGTAATAAAAATTAAAAGCTATTAGATCGAAAGAGATATGCAAAGTGTCTTCCATATTATCTTCTACAGTTTGTCTAACGAGGTA